TTTATTTCAACACAGCCACACCTCTTCACTGTACACGTTGCCTGAGGCTGATTTTGCACACTGCACAGGTAATGCCAAAAATACTGTCCATCTGGCCTTCTGCAGGAGCAAATGCAAGGCTGAATCATATACCTGCAACTTGTTTCAAAGGAGCAGAGTGTGAAAGTTCTCAGCACAAGAAAAGCACTTTGTAACTATGTAAGGGGATAGATGTTACCCAGATGTAGTGGAGGGTTTTTTTCTTTTGTTTCTTTTGCTTTATATACAAATGTAGAATGACTTACGCTGTAAATCTGAAACAAAGATAATTTTGTGGTCACTTACATCTCAGCAAAACATAAAAATTTAAAAAAACTGCTGACACTCGGGGCTAGCTGAAAGCAGAGAAGCTTGTAGCTTTTCCCATGACCAAAGAATCAAACCGGAGTCGGACTTCTATCTTAAAAGATACAAAGTTTTATTAAACGAACCTGGAATCAATGGCATCATTCCATAAATTAGACAGCAGTAAAATCTTCCCAGGGTGTGTATATATATGTATATATACAAATCACAGTGATTTTCATTGTGCAAGGAATGGAGAGGTGTAGAAACAGGCTTTTTTTCTTTCTTTTTTAAACCACTTGAGAAGCTGAAATGATCAGGGTGGGGCTCCCCATATGACCCGGACAGGAAGGAGGAACACCAGCCCTGGATGCTTCATCCCTCGAGAAAAGAAAACCTCTGACCGCCCCGCAGAGCCAGAGAAAGCGTCTCGGGGAGCCAGGAAAGGCAGCCGGTGAGCGGAAACGGTTCTGATCCCAGTTGCAAGAAAAAACACACGTGCCATGAGTTTTATTTAAATAACACAGGAGTCCACCACGGAAGAGAAAAAAAAGAACCAAAAAAAAAGAAAGCAAAAAAAAGAAACTAAAAGGAAAGGGTCCAAAAAAATTCCCTTCCGAATAACAAAGGGAACGGGGGGCCGGGAACAAAACGGGGCAACAAGAAAAAACCCCGGAAGAAAAAAAGAACCCTGGGGGAAACAACCCCCAACAACCAAACCCCAACAAAAAAAAAAAAAAAAAAAAAAAAAAAAAAACCAAAAAAAATAATTAAAAAAAACGGAAAAACCAAACCAACCAAACCGAAACGAATAAGCAAAAACAAAAAAAAGAAGGGAAAAAAAGCAAAAAGGTTCAAGAAGGAAAAAAAAACCCCCAAGCAAAAGGAACAAAAGAAGGAAAAAAAAAAAAGAACAAGACAGACACCTCATTTTAATCTCAATTGGGAACGATGGAAAGACTTACATGATGCAGTCAATTTTGTGATGCAAAATGAAAGGGCTAGGGACAAAAAAAAAATTTCCAATCTTTCCTGCAGCTGAAGTTCCAGCAAAGATTCTGTTGTTAGGATGAGGAGGAAATACAGTCTTCAGGGTTCCCCCGGGTGGGGTGCCTATCATATCACTCAACTGCTTGGCGCTTCTGGTGACTCGGATGGGTGGCAGGTTGGTCCCGATGTACGGATGGAGAGAAGGAAAGCAAACATCGCCCGAGACAGTGAAAAACAGGTGATGCCAAACCTGCTCGAGGAGCAAGACTGGGAGGAGTTTTAAAGCATCGTGATGGGGTGACGTGCACGCCGGTTATCTGGTTACTGGTTTTTGTTTTTGTTTTTTCCTTTGCATATTTTGACAAATCGACAGCAGAAATCATGGTTTTCGTGTTTTTTATTTTTTTTTACCACTGCTGGCCAATGATACACGTCTGCTGAGCAGGATATCCCAACTGCCGGGACCACGGGCCACATGCCGTGGTGACCGGCTAGCATTTTATCTCCTTCGGCATCTTTACAGATGGCTCTCAAAGCAGGCTGGCTTTATTTTTTCCCTGAGGAAACCAAGACCCACCCTGATCCACCTCTTGAAATCAATGCATTTCCTAGACTTTATAAGAATTTTTTTCGGGATGGGAGGAGGATAAGGACCATTTTTAAAGTCTTAACTGAATTTGTGACACTGCTTCTGCTTTATATTTTTGGCTTTCTGACAGTAAGGCATGTGGCATTTCAGCTCCCCCGACCAGGGATTAAACTCACACCCCGCCCCCCTCAACATTGGAAGGTGAAGTCTCAACCATTGGGCCACCAGGGATGGGGTGGGGGAGTCCCAAGACATTTCAAATAGTATTGTCATTTAAGGAGATTTTGCCAACTTGTCAAACGGCAGCAAACAAAAAACAGATCTCTCCTTTTCCAGTTCGGAATGTTGTCACCGTGGCCGTGAACTTTCTTCAAAACCTAGCACACCCTGATTACTTTTGACCCAAGACTCCAACATCACAGAATGCCTCCAGGGAGTGAACGATTTTCTGGTTGTATAGGGCAGCGAGCCGTCCATGTCTTTAAGACTCATTTTGATCACGCCCAGCATTGCATGATGTCAGACCATTTAATTTACGGCCCAGCCACCAGCACACAATGCTTTTGATGACTAAATGGGCACCAGGGGTGTCAAAGGTGAGGTAAACCCCATCTGGCAGTGTTGGAATTCCTCTTCCTTTCCAATCTGCTTGGCATGGCTGATGGTCACGACCATGTTTTTATAAAGAAGCGAGCCATCCATGGTATTTGAACCTTTGTTTGCCCTGCATAGTTCTTCAAAATTAAGGCAACGCATTTTCATGCGTTCTTGTGCTATTTTCATCTCATAAATTACATCCTGGAGAGGGAGAACCAAGCCAAAAAAATATGCATCGGGATCAATGTCTGTATTTACAACTTTTGTATTGTGTTCAAGAAAGGTGTTTCATTTATTTTGTATTTTCTTAAGCGTAAGGCTCCAAATAACAGTCATTTATTTTTACAGTCAGAGGACACAAGACTTAATGCTTTTCCTCATGGGTCTCTATCTCTGTGCAGGTTCCCACTGCTAATTTAACCTTCTAACATTCAACGACGTAATAGTTCAGAAATGGCATGATAAAATTTCAGTCCCCGCTGGCTCACCATTTAATCCAAAGAGCGTGGTGATGGGAAAGTACAGACTCAAACTAACAGTTCTCCGGGAACATTTGTCCAAGTGCACCCTTTGAAAGTAAATTTTTAATGAGTTGCCCATTGTAAGGTTTATTTTACTTCAATCTTGGACTCACTCTCGCCTACGGAATGGACTGCTCTTTGAAGACGAGGTCATTTACGAGAAGGGGGTGATTTAGCACCTTGGGCTCAAAGCTTTTGTAGGTGTCATTTCCCTTCGTATCTCCTTCAAGCACACACACCCCTTGTCTTCTGATCCAGGAGTTGCTTGTTGTTCAGTCACTCAATTGTGTCTGACTCTTTGAGACCCCGTGGACTGCAGCACGCCAGGCCTCCCTGTCCATCACCAACTCCCAGAGCTTGCTCAAACTCATGTCCATCGAGTCGGTGATGCCATCCAGCCATCTCATCCTCTGTCGTCCCCTCTCCTCCCGCCTTCAATATTTCCCAGCATCAAGGTCTCCAATGAGTCAGCTCTGCGCCATCAGGTGGCCAAAGGATTGGAGCTTCACCTTCAGCATCAGTCCTTCCAATGATCACCCAGGACTGATGTCCTTTAGGATGGACTCCTTGCAATCCAGGGGACTCTCAAGAGTCTTTTCCAACACCCCAGTTCAAAAGCATCCATTCTTCAGGGTGCAACTGGTCAAATCTGACATATACGTGATGTCCTCTGACATTTGTGCTACGTTAAAAAAAAACTGTTATGACTTTCCCAAACAGCAGCTCTCCACACCCCTAATGTGCCTGCAGAAGCGAGGGAAGCAAAAGTTGGGAAAGACACAGCTTTCCGGCCCCCAGCACAGGAAAAAACAGCATCGACAGCAAAGAACTGAGCAGGTGACCCAAGGATACCTGAGTTGCAGAGACCTGAGCAGCGGAGAGCTGAGGGCGCACCCAACCCTTTGCAGCGACACATCCCGAGGGCACGCTCTGCCTGCAACCCCGTGGGCCGAGGAGCTGAAGCTCTCTGCGCGGGGAAAGCGAGGGGACGGCGGGGGTCTCGGAGGTCTAGTGGGTGATCCCCCGCAGCCACTGAAGGCTCGAGAACCGACTGCTTCAATGCACAGACCCTCCGCCGGGCAAGGGCCTGGCTGGACCCCACGCCCGGATTTCACACAGCGGGTCCGAGCCACGCTTGTCTCTCCAGCTGAGTGGACAGAAAAAGCTCGGCCCGCTTAGGTGTTTCTCACAGCAAAGGTCAGCATGAGAAAGCAGAAAGAAGAGAGGGAGGGTCAAGAAGGCATGGAGTGAGGCGCAGGACGGACGCCAGGCACCTCCGACCACGCCCTGCTCCTGGGGAGACGCAAACTTCCACAGCAACCCTCGCCCACGGAGACACGTCAACACCCAGCGTTCCTGATCCACAGGGTCCACGGTCCTCCCCCGCCCCTCGGGTCCAAAGGGAAAAGGAAAGCTTCCCCCAGGCTTGTTCGGCATGGCCCGGCAGGTCTGTGAAACCAGAAACACAGCCAGCGCTGAGGAGGAGAAGTGAAAGCGAGGAGAAACTCTGAGGGAGGGTCAGACGGTTCCATCGTGTCCCTGCCGTTCCTGGCTTTTCCCAAAACCAGAGGGGAAAAGGAAAACATGTGCGCTAAGTTCCTCAAGTCAATGCTGAAGAGAGACTCTTCCGTATCGGGAGATGCATTTTTGGCCCAGGGATTGAACCTGGAATACGAACAGCTAGCCATCTCCCTACAGAGTCTGAAATTTTTTTAATGCCACAGACAAAATTCCTCGAAGAGCATCTGCGGTCAGTGGCTAGTCTTGCAGTAAAATTCACACTCACATCTCCTTCCTTTGCCTTCTGGTTTCAAGACCCCAGGCTACCAGATATAAACCAGCAAACATACTGGATACAGACCGTCATAGGATATAACCATAAAACGCATACAAGATGATAACAAATGCATATATCGTAACTTTTAAAATTGTGTCCGGCAAGAGAACAGATTCATTAAAAAAAAAAAAGAAAAGAAAAATCTGAAACATAAATATAATCTCTGGAAAGTAGGAACATGTACATCACTACACAATTTCTGTGCTCCAAGCATACCGCCTTTTTTATACACAGACATGAGCAAACACGCGCACACACACACACACACACAATTTGTGGTTAAATCTGAACAAGTTCAGCTCAAACGTAAAAAGTCAAGTCTATGAGGGAAAAAAAAAACAAAAAACGAAACCAAGATATCCCAGTAGGAACACACAACAGTAAAAAGCAGAAAACCTACAACCAATCAAAATGTTCAAAGTGTCCTACTGTGCAGTAGATTTCCAGTAGATTAAATAATTCCAGGGCCACGAACGTCAACAGATCTGCAATCTCTTTATACACATCCGGGCGTACACAAAGGCAGAAACATCCTCACTCCAAGAAGAAGATGCTTCCTCGGGTCGGCCATGGGGGCCGACCCCCACCCGCGGGGGCCACTGTGTGTCCGGGCAGGCTCAGATCACCCTGTGTCTGGCATGAGATAAAACAAAGGGCTGGTTACTTTTACTCTAATTGTTTATTCTTTTTTATCTTCTGCTGACCCTGTGTGGCAAAGGGGATCTTATTTTTCCAATCAAGGATCGAACCTGCATCACTGGAAGCAGGGAGTCTTAACCCACGGGACTGCCAGGGAAGGCTGGATTTTGTTAAGTTTCCAAAACACCTGGGGAACATTTGTCATCTTAACAGCAACAACAAACAACGGTAGCGCAAAAGAAGCCAAGGATGCCTTTCACGCTCTCATGGCAAAGGCCCTCAAGCCTGAATTCTACGGAGCGAGAACGCCGGATAAAGTAAAATTGAAAGCATTTTTTTAAAGGCGGGTTCTCGATGTTCCATAGAACTAGCCCGAGTTCGTCCACAATTTGAAAAGAGATTCATGACAGAAACAAAAGTGGGTCCCAGTTTCCTGGTACTTTGCCATAGGACCTGACCATCAGACAAAAACATTTTTATGATAAAGAAAACTACAGGGCCCAGACGCACAATCTAAGTGTGCTTTCAACCCACCAAGACCCACTTTATAGCACAGGGAACTCTGGTCGGTACTCGCTAATAACCCAGATGGGAAAAGAATTTGAGAAAGAAGAAATGCATGTATATGTTAAAAAAAAACTATATACGAAATTTAAAAATAAACAGAATTCAACTGATACAGGGCTTCCTGGGTGGCTCAGATGGTAAGGAATCCGCCAATGCAGGAGACCCGGGTTCTATTCCCTGGGTTGGGAAGATTCCCCGGGAGGAGGAAATGACAACCCACCCCAGTATTCTTGCCTGGAGAATCCCACGGACGGAGCAGCCTGCTGGGTCACACAGAGTCAGACACGACTGAGCGACTAACTTTGACAGACTTTCAAGTGACAGAATGAATGAATGAAATAAAAGAGGCCTTGATATTTCAGAAATCAATACATGAAATACAGATCTACCTTCCAGGCAGGGGAGTCCCAAGCTCAGAAATTCTTGAAGACATCCAGCTCCTTCTGTGACACCGGCGGGGCAGAAGCCCAGTCGTTCTCAGGATACGCTTCGAAGTTGGAGGTGTCGTCTTCACCGCACAGCTTGGGGACAATGGGGGGCTGAGGAAGCAGCAAAGATACAGCGCCGTGGTCAGAGGGGAACTGTGTTCAGCGGGTGATCTTACATTCAGCCACGCTTCAGTTTGACTGCACTTTGCAGATACTGTTTTTTAATAAATCAAACCTTTGCAGAAACATTGCCAGTCTGCACCAGGAAGTTGTTAAGGTCCAGGCAAGCCCGAGTTCTATCACACTTTTAACATACTATATTTGTTTTGTTTTTTTCTTAATCAAAGCTTTGCAGAAACCTTTGCATGGATCAAGTATGCACCAGGAAGTTGTTACATTCAGGCACACCTAGTTTTATTGCACCATACAGATACTATGTATTTTTTTTTTTTTATAAAAGAAAGCTTTGCAGAAACCTTGCAAGGAGCCAGCCTGCACCAGGAAGCTTGCTATGTTCAGGCACACCTAGTTTTATTGCACCATACAGATACTATGTATTTTTTTTTTTTTATAAAAGAAAGCTTTGCAGAAACCTTGCAAGGAGCCAGCCTGCACCAGGAAGCTTGCTATGTTCAGGCACACCTAGTTTTATTGCACTTTATAGCTCAGCTGGTAAAGAATCCGCCTGCAATGCAGGAGATGCCGGTTCGATTCCTGGGTCGGGAAGAACCCCAGGAGAAAGCATAGGCTATCCACTCCAGTGTTCCTGGGATTCCCAGTGGCTAACACTGTAAAGAATCCAGCCGCCATGCGGAAGATGTGTGTTCCATCCCTAGGTTGGGAAGATCCCCTGGAGGAGGAAATGGCAACCCACTCCAGTATATCTCGCCTGGAGAATCCCCATGGACAGAGGAGCCTGGTGGGCTACAGTCCATGGGGTTGCAAAGAGTCGGACACGACTCAGTGATTAACCACACACACGCATGCACACACACGTACATACTCTCTTTTTTTTAAAAAAAGATGTAATCAGAGTTTTGCAGAAACCTACCATGGGGCAAGTCTGCCCCAGAAGTTGTTACATTTCTGCACGCCTCATTCTATTGCACTTTGCACATACCGTGTCTCTTGCAAGTTGAAGCTTTGCAGAAACTGAACATCGAGCAAGTCTAGCTGCGTCGTGTCTCCAACAACACTGCCGCATTTCTTGCTCTGTTACTTCTGATGATTCTCACATTTCAAACTTTATGCCTAGACTTGTTGGGCTGAACTGGGACCACTGATCTTTGATGGAACCACTGACCTTGGCGTATCTTTTGTTTTGTAACTTCTCAATTAAGGTACAGATGGTTCTTTTAAGACTCTTCGCCACTCCATGGACTGCAGCCCGCCAGGCTCCTCTGTCCATGGGATTCTCCAGGCAAGAAGACTGGAGTGGTTCATCAGTCCCTTCTGCAGGGGAATCTTCCTGACCCAGGGATCGAACCCGGGACTTCTGCATCCCAGGAGGTCTCTTTACCAACTGAGCCTCCAGGAAAGCCACTGACTCTTCAGCTAGGGTCTTCCCTCAACAGTGTGAACTTAGTAACGATTTCAATCACTCCATTGGGTATTCATCCTAAGGAATTGAGCCACAGATTCAGAGCCCGCGTTTGTGTCCAGGAGAGCTTGAGGCCCCCCCGGGGAGGAGCCGGCCGACTGACGTCTGGTCGTACCTTCAGCTTCCTTTCGGGGACCGCGCCCCAGTCCACGAGCCGGAACCAGCGGTGCTGTTTGACGTCCTCGGCTCCGTTCTGCAAAAGGAACACCCGTCATCAGCGCAGAGGAGGCCGGCAGGACAGGAAAGCCCGTATCACAGAGAGGCGCCGTGTGATTCCACACGGAGAAACATGGGCTCGCTGGGACTCGAGCCTCTGTCCCCGGAGCAAACTACCAATGACGCATCTGAGCGTCATTATGTGCTTTTCTTCATTACAGACAGAAATTCAGTCATGGTGCTCAAGGCTTACCCGGTGGCTCAGCAAAAGAACCCGCCTGCCAATGCAGGACATGTGGGTTCCATCCCTGGGTCAGGAAGGCCCCCTGGAGAAGGAAATGGCAACCCACCCCAGTATTCCTGCCTGGAGAATCCCATGGACAGAGGAGCCTGGCGGGGTACAGCCCACGGGGTTACCAAGAGTCGGATATGAGTGAGCAATTCAACCACAACATGTTGTTCACGCGTATAGAGCTCTGGACCACAAAGACCAAAGCGGAACTATGGTCCTGGCCCTCCCAACGTGAAGTGGGATTTTCACCTTGACAATTTCCTTCAGCTGAAGCTGTGGCTCATTGTGTGTGTGTGTAGTCAGCCCTCAACCGTGTCTGACTCTGTGACCCCATGGACTGTAGCCCACCAGGCTCCTCTGTCCATGGGATTCTCCAGGCAGGAATACTGGAGTGGGTTGCCATGCCCTCCTCCAGGGAACCTTCCCGACCCAGGGATAGCACCCGGGTCTCCTGCATTGCAGGGAGAAGCTTCACCACCTCAGCTACTTTTACAAACGTATAAAATGAAGTTCACAAAATGATGTCATCTGCTCACTACTGCCCAGAGACTAAGTCACGTGACTATGATGCAAACTGAGGATGTCTCACTTGAGAGATGGGTTTTTTTTTTTTTCTCAAGACCTTGCAGCGTGTGGGATTTTGACTCCCCAGCCAAGGGTTGGAAGCGGGCTGCCTGCAGTGGAAGCCTGAAGTCTTAACCACTGGACCGTCAGGGAAATCCGCAAACTTCAGAAAAGTGGTAGCTACAGGGTACTGGTTTCTTTTGGAAGGAACGAGCCTGTTCTTTAAAACTGTGGTGACGGGTGCACCATTTTGCAAACATATCGCAAAAGCCGTCCGACTTGTTGGATTTAAAGGGGTAAACCACGTGCTACGTGAATCTCAAGAGGGAGGGTCAAGGCGGAGGGGACATAGGTATTCCTGTGGCGGCCTCGGGCTGATGTGTGGCAGAAAAACCAACGTAATATGGTAAAGCAATTATCCATCAATGAAAATTTAAAAAGAAAAAAATACATAAGTAAATAAAGCAAGCAATGATCAGTTAACTTATAGATAACTGCTGAGCCACTGACTTCTTTGTGGAGGGATGAGACCTGATTCTGGGTGAATCAAATCTGAAATCTGGCCAAGGAATGGGTAAGACTGTTCTGCCATTGCTGACATGTCTGAAGTCAGATGAGAGGCATTTAAAGTGAGTACCACTTAACGCGTGCTGAGATGCTCAGCCGTGTCCCACTCTTTGGCAACCCCCGTGGACTGCAGCCCACCAGGCTCCTCTGTCCACGGGGAGTCTCCAGGCAAGAATTCTGGAGTGAGTTGCCATTTCCTGCTCCAGCGGATCTTCCCAATCCAGGGATGGAACCCGCGTCTCTTACGTCTCCTGCAGTGGCAGGCAGACTTTTGACTACGAACATCACGTGGGAAGGCCCTACCGTTCCACATATGCGGATGCAAATACTGACCTTCATGTTTCCCAGTCTCCTTGTTCTGTCGGTAACAAGCAGTTTCCTGATGAGGTCTCTGTTTCGGAGGGGAAGGAGACAGACACAGAGACACATTGAATTGTGGAAACACAGCAAATCAACAGCAATAAAATCCACACTGTTTGGCAGGGACACCAGCCCAGTGGGTCGGTCTTCACGTTGGCTAAACATCTTCTAGCGCTCCTTTCTCACCACTGTTGAGTGGTAAGTCGCATCAGTCGTGTCTGACTCTCTGCGACCCCATGGACTGCAGCCCGCCAGGCCCCTCCATCCGTGGGAGTCTCCAGGCAAGAACACTGGAATGGGCTGCCATTCCCTTCTCCAGGGGATCTTCCCCAACTCAGGGGTCGAACCCGCGTCTCTTGTGTCTCCTGAATTGGCAGGTGGGTTCTCTACCACTAGCTCCACCTGCAAAGCCCCTTTCTCACCATTATCTGTTCCTAAACAACCTAAACAATTAATGCGATGCAGAGTTGCAACCCAGCTAAGGCGCAGAGGTTGATCAAATCAACGTAGAGACAAACAGCCTTTGAACATGAGCAGGAGAAACTCTGTCTGCCCTGGGGATGTCTGACCTTCATTTCAAATATACCTGCCAGGCCAACCCCGGCCAACTACACAATGTGTGATTTTACCAAAATCAGCTATCACGCTTTGCCTGGTGGGTCTACTTATCTGTGGGATTCTTGTCTGGACATCCTTGCCTTCCCGGAAACAAGGGAAGTATTTTTGTGTGTGCTGGGTCACTGAGATTTTCCTTCTAAATAGCAGACGGTATCAGAATACTGACTCACTGGACATCAACCCTGAGTATTCATTCGAAGGACTGATGCTGAATCTCCAATATTTTGGCCACTTGATGTGAAGAGCCAGCTCATTGGAAAAGACCCTGATGCTGGGAAAGATTGAAGGCAGGAGGAGAAGGGGACGAAAGAGGATGAGATGGTTGGATGGCATCACCGATTCAACGGACATGAGTTTGGGTGGACTCTGGGAGTTGGTGACGGACAGGGAGGCCTGGCGTGCTGCAGTCCATGGGGTCCCAAAGAGTTGGACACGACTGAGCGACTGAACAACAACAACAAAAAATCAGAACCCAGAAGGATAGAGAAGCCTATATTCACACAGCAGATGAGGACTCAACACAGTTACGGCAAAGCATGTTTCAAGAAATCATTTCCTTCTATTTCCCCCTTAAAAGTTTTATTTAAGCAACGTAATCACTCACAGTACTTACACATTATACAAGGGCTTCCCCGGTGGCTCAGCAGTATAGAATCTGCCTGCCAGTGCAGGAGATGCAGGAGACCCGGGTTCGATCCCTGGATCGGGGAGACCCCCTGGAGGAAGGCATGGAAACCCACTCCAGTATTCTCGCCGGGAGAATCCCAGGACAGAGGAGCCTGGTGGGCTGCAGTCCGTGGGGTCGCCAAGACTTAGCACGCAAAGTCATGGACGCCTGCACCAGCCGCCAAGCTTGCTAGCTGGGAGGAACAAGGGCCTTCTTCTCGAATAACAAAACTGCTTCCTTATTCAATGTGATGATGAACAGCCTTTATTCGCTAATGATACACACACCCGTTATCTCAAAAGATGTAAAATACGGCTGCGACTCATGAAGAGGTGAAGTGTCATCCCAGCAGAGTCATGAAAAGCTTTCCCCTTTTCGGGCGGAAAAGATGACCCATCCAAAGAGCATCAGCCGATCGCAGCTGGACAAACCAGGGTGGTACCCAGCCAGGCAGGACGCGTCCACTGGCGCGTTTCTCGGGGGCTTTAGAAATAAACGCCCCCGCTGACCGGAGAAGACGGCTGACTTACTTGACAGTGAACTCCAAATGTCTGGGGAAGTCTATCTTGCCAGCAAGAATCTTCTGATAAATGCCAAAGGCGTTGTCATCGAAAAACGGAGGAAACCTGTTAGAAACATAAGAACGCCTTATTTTTAGCGGCCAGTGTGGGGGAAAAAACCCAGGCTTTGTAAGGATGGCTCCTTCCGCCTGACATGGGCAGAAGAGAATTTTATTTTTCCGCGTGCACTCTCCTCTCTCACCCGGGAGTCACAGATGACTCAGGGCCAGCTATGAAGACATGGTTCCAAGCGGCCAAGCGCGGAGCCCTCTGTCCCAACTGCAGAGGGCGGGCAAACGGAGCAAAGGCAATGACCGTGATGAGCCCTTGTGACCAGCGGTGTGGCCACTCGCTGACGGCTGTTCGGTCACTGAGGCGTGTCCGCCTCTCTGCAACCCCGTGGACTGTAGGCCCACCAGGCTCCCCTGTCCGTACGATGCTCCAGGCCAGAACACCAGAGTGGGCTGCCATTTCCTCCTCCGGGGGAATCTTCCCGAGCCCAGGGATCCAACCTGCTGCGTCTCCTCTCTTGGCAGGCAAGGTCCTCACCCCTGAGCCCACATGGGAAGCCCACTACGGTCTCTTAACTACAACTAGCCCGGCCAGCTGTACTTCTAGAGTAAGCAGCTTCCGTGGACCTCGAACCTACGCAGGCCCAGAGACACCCAGTCCTCACCGAGTGTGAACGCCTTCGTGTGAACCAACCCCCGAATCGGGCCTCCGCCCGTGAGCCCGAAGCCGGTTCCAACAGTGGCCGGGGGGTTGCTGCTCCTGCCTTGAGTGGAGGCTCTGAATGAGGACACGCTGTGGGGCGGTCTCCATGGAGAGGCGGGCCCGGGAGAAGACGCGTCATACATTCCCCCACGGGCTCCCGGAGAACACGGCATACGGAACTCCGAGAAAGCTGGCACGATACGCCACCGTCATGGGAGAGGTATGTGAGCAGCAGCTTTAACGAGCGGAAAAAACTCATCACGAGGGAGCGCCCACAGACCCAGCCGGAGAGAAAAAGCAGAAGGAAGGCGTGTCCGAGACGGCGGAGTGAGGAAAGCGGCCAGAGACGGTGCCCAGATCCGACGTGTGTGTTTATTCACTCGGTCGTGTCCAACTCTTTGCTACCCCATGGACTACACAGTCCATAGAATTCTCCAGACCAAAATACCGGAGCGGGCAGCCTTTCCCTTCTCCAGGGAATCTTCCCGACCCAGCGGTGGAACCCAGGTCTCCTGCATTGCAGGCGGATTCTTTACAAGCTGAGCTATCAGGGACGCCCAGCCAGCTTTGAAAGTATCTTCAAATGTCTATCTTTAACCCAACAGAAACCTTCCAATTTTTTCCCCCAATTTTCTTTATTTACTTATTGGCTGCACGACATGGGATACGGGGTAACAGTTCCCTGACCAGGGATCGAACCCACGTATCTCACAGTGGAAGCTCGGCGTCTTATCCACTGGACTGCCAGGGAAGCCTCCTTCCAAGTATTTTTTTTTTAATTGACTAATTTAACTGGAGGATAATTACGTGACAACATGGCGAAGGTCTTAATAAAGCCGGCAGTGAGTGCCACCCACACATGTGGGCACGACTTGCATCGTGACGTCAGTTGTGGCGAGCTATAGACAGAGGGACCACGTGTACTTCCCCACGAAGGCAGGCTCCAGCATTTCATCTTAGAAAGATGCATGGCTGGGAACTGTGCTGGCGAGAGTGGTTGAGAATCCGCCTCATGACACGGACGATGCCGCTTCCATCTCTGGTCGAGGATCTAAGACCTTGGAGCAAGTGAGCCTGATGTGCTGGATCCACGGAGTCCAAGCGACACAACTTGAGGGTCTGCAGGCCGCCAGGAAAGAGCCGGCGGGCTGCAGCTGACAGCTGACCCCCAATTCAGCCAAATAAGTGTTCTTTTTAAAAAAGGTACAGCAGGGCCTCGCTGGTGGGTCAGCGATAAACACTCTCCCTGCCAACTCAGGAGACAGGGGTCCAAGCCCTGACCCGGGAACATCCCACATGCCTCAGAGTATGCCCCATCCCCCCGCCACAAAAAAAAAAAAACATGCCAATTTTGTCATTTTTTCCCACCATCATGTATCCATGATCTTTTTTTAATAGACATCTTTGACCTACCTCAATGTTCCTGGTGGCTAAGAAGGTAAAGAATCCGCCTGTCAATGCAGAAGACCCAGGTTCGATCCCTGGGTCGGGAAGACCCCCTGGAAGAGGGCAAGGCAACCCACTCCAGTGTTCTTGCCCGGAGAATCCCACGGACAGAGGAGCCTGGTGGGCTACAGTCCACGGGGTCAGAAAGAGGCAGACACCACTGAAGCTATACTTGGCACATATATAGCACACACCCCATTAAGATACTATTAGGATACAGTGTAATGAGAATATCAGACACGCAATAATTACGTTTACATAACAACCATTATGTAAGTGGTTGAATAACCATGTGATATGGTAAGTAACCATGTAATAATCATTGCAATGTATCCTAATACTGTATTCTAATCCTACTGTCTTCTAATAGTCTCTACTGTAGCATGTTCTAGCATACTATAGAATATGGAGGCTCCAGTAGTATCAGAACGTACTTAGGTTGTTCTACACTTTGGCCGCTCAATCGTGTCCCACGCTTTCTGACCCCGTGGACTGTACCGCACCAGGCTCCTCTGTCCATGGGATTCTCCAGGCAAGAACACTGGAGTGGGTTGCCATGCCCTCCTCCAATGCATGAAACTGTTTCCTTCTCCAATGCATGAAAGTGAAAGTGAAGTCGCTCAATCGTGTCCCACGCTTTCTGACCCCGTGGACTGTACCGCACCAGGCTCCTCTGTCCATGGGATTCTCCAGGCCAGAACACTGGAGCGGGCTGCCATTCCCCTTCTCCAGGGGAATCTTCCCAACCCAGGGATCGAACCCGCCTCTCTTATGNCATTATTTCCCCCCGTAATAATACAGACAAAAGAGAAGACACAGCAAGTCCATTCCAGTAAAAGTGCTCTGGCCGCTGGGATTCAACGGTTGGGCAACGCTACCCTCTGCTGGTCAGAAACGTTCAAGAAGGAACACACCCACCCATTGCTGGGACACGGGTGGAACACCGATCAAACACAGGTGCAGAAAGATGTAGCCTTTTACATTTCTTTTTACAGTTTACGTCTCTTTAACGTCTTGCATTTCTGATACCGTAGGGAATGCCTTTCAGCCCTGTGTTTCTGACCGGGACTTCCTGGGCTGGGGTGCACGGAAGGGCTTTTTTTGGTCTATGTGTTGACTACAGACGCGTGTGATCAGAGAGAGAAAGAACTGGAGAAGGGCAAGTGGATGGAGGAGGGGCAGGCGGGGAGGAGAGACCTGGGCGGGCACCCCTCCCGCCACCACCCCACCTGCCCGCCAAGCGCAGCATCCAACAAAGAGCCTGGTGAGCGCAGGATGCCAGGAAGCATCGGGCCCATTGACGTCTGCGGGAAGATGCTTGTGCTGTCTGCCCCGTGGGGAAACGGTGTGCGTGTGGGCTCAGTTGTATCTGACTGTTTGTGACCCCATGGACTGTAGCCCCGCCACGCTCCACTGTCCATGGGATTCTCCAGGCCAGAATACAGGAGCAGGCTGCCATTCCCCGTCTCCAGGGGAATCTTCCCAACCCAGGGATCGAACCCGCCTCTTTCTTCTCCTGCGCTGGCAGGCAGATTCTTTACCGCCTCACGGAATTCCTAGCAACACCTCACAGAAATGCCAGACTTGAGTGCTTAATCATGCTGATATAGGGTGTGTCTCTCTGGAATCTGGACCGAAGAGGTCAATGGAATTCCAAACATCCCCCGAGGCACGTTTCGGGTTTTCAGGAAAGAACACACTCTTTTCTTTCTGGAACGCTGTTCATTCTGAACGTCCTAAAGAGGAATTCTGAACGTCCTAAAGAGGATTTCTTTATCCAACACGCCGCTACCCAGCTCGCGGCTTCCCTGGGGGCTCAGATGGCAAAGAATCCGCGTGCAATGCAGGAGACGTGGGTTCCATCCCTGGGTCGGGAAGACCCCCAGGAGGAGGCACGGCAACCCACTCCAAGTATGTCCGTCCGCTGACCCCCACGCGTCAAATCCCGGGGGCTGAGCACCCCCAGAGCAAGCGAACAGGGCGGGGAGCCGCAGGCATCTTCCCCAGGGAAGCGGTACTCACCCCGAGAGCATCTCGAATATCAGGATGCCGAGCGCCCACCAGTCCACCGCTCGGCCGTGGCCCTTGCTCTGAATGACCTCGGGGGCCAGGTACTCGGGGGTCCCGCAGAGGGTCCACGTCCTGTGGGAAGACAAGAGGGCGGGCGGAGTCCACAGAACTCAGCTGTGATTGGCCGACGCGTGCATCTCAGGAGCGGGGCAGCTCCCGTCAGTGAGTTAACCTACGCAGGGACTTAGACCCCAGCCCCGGAGATAAACATGGCAACGCTGTCCTCTGTGACTCCTTTCCTTTTATACACACTTCTTTTCCAATTTAAGGTTAACTTTTACTTCGTGTTGGCATATAGCCTATGAACAATGCTGTGATGGTTTCAGGTGGGCAGTGAATGGACTCAGCCACACACACACATGTATCCCTTCTCCCCCAAACTCCCCTCCCATCCCGGCTGCCACGTGACATTGAGCAGAGTTCCCTGGGCTGTCCAGCAGGTCCTTGTCTTTATCCTACCCCATACATAAAGACAGTAACCTTGTCTTTCCTGACTATCTCTTCCTTTTATGATCAAGACGAAATGATGAACGTCACTCAGTCGCATCCAACTCTCTGCGACCCCGTGGACTGTAGCCCACCAGGCTCCCCTGTCCCTGGAAATCTCCAGGTAGGAATACTGGAGTGGGTGGCTGTTCCCTTCCCCAGGGGATCTTCCTGACCCAGGGATCAAACCCGGGTCTCCTGCACTGGCAGGCACATTCTTCATGGTCTAAGTCACCAGGGGAGCCCTGCTTCCTTTTATAAACACTCATTAAGCAAAACAGACTCAAAGTCACAGTCCTGTTATCACGGCCGTGTGCTGTTCTTGGTGATCCCCTTCGCTGCTCAGAAGCAAAACCCTCACAGTCCTGATTCCCCATAAAACGATATGAAAAAAGGTTCAAGCCACTGGCTCCTGAAGCCCGCTGTGCCTGGAAGTGACTGTCAGGAACCCGTATGTCTGCTTTATAAACAGACGAGCTGGGTCTCTTCTCCGAGAGGAAAAGCGAAACATCAGTGAAGTATCTTTTCTGCCCTCTCTGCAAAAGGTCTGAAGTGTGTGCTGACCTTTTGTGGGTTCACTGTCCCGTCAGTATCAGCAGTGGCTTTTAAAAATCCTCGGGCTAAGGGGATCTGGGATGTTTGGGGTTGAAACGGGGCTGAGAATTTTGGATTTTCTCCCCCAGATGAGCTGAGACCTGCAGAAAAGTTAGCTTTTGGCCCCACCTAGAGGACAGCAGGGAAAAGACCCTGATGCCGGGAAAGATTGAAGGCGGGAGGAGAAGGGGACGATAGAGGATGAGATGGTTGGATGGCATCACCGACTCCGTGGATGTGAGTTTGAGCGAACTCTGGGAGTTGGTGATGGACAGGGAGGCCTGGCGTGCTGCAGTCCATGGGGTCGTGAAGAGTCGGACACGACTCAGCGGCTGAAGAACACAGCACATCGGGCTAAAAGCTGGAGATCCAACCAGCAAGCTTGAAAAAACCACTATCATCACCTTGTTGCTTTGACTCAGCAAATTCTTGAGTTCTGCTGTCCGATCCCGTTTGTGCTCCATTTCCAGCCTGGGGGCACATCCAAGGTTGCCTGAACACAGCTGCAAGCCTGGGGCTCAGCTGTGAGGTCCAGACCAGCTGGAGGCGGTAGCAGGTAACTATACCTGTGTCTCCGCTTACAGGCGGAAAGCTGAGTCTCTGTCTGGCGGCAACCTCAGGTGAGGGGCCCACACATCGAAGGCTGTATGACTTGGCAGTTTTCCAAGTAGACTCAGATAGCCTGACACCTTTTTCCTTTTTTTAGTTCTAACAATTTATTGCTACCAACCCATCTCCCTCCAACCTCAGGCACACATGCTAAGTCATGTAACCCCATGGACTGCAGCCCGCCAGGATTCCCAGTCCATGGACTTTTCCAGGCAAGAATACTGGAGTGGGTTACCATTTCCTTCTCCATATCTGTTTGAAGCAAAACCTTTTTCAAAAAAGGCTCCAGGCTTCCTGGGAGCCAGAGAGGCATAAATTTTCTTGAAAGAGCTCCAGAATGCAGCAAAATTTCTTAAAAGTTTACATCTCAAAGCAGTATTGCAGTTTCGTGAAACGTTACAATACAATTTCCACAAGGCCCAGAAATGTCAGTCCTCAGTTAATATCACCAAAGAAAACGGAAAGCTGGGAGTTGAACAGACTCGTGTACACCCACGTTCATAGCAGTTACTGAAAAGCAGGAAGATTTGTCTTCTTCTTTTGAGAGAATTCTCTCTTTATACTTAAAAAATTTTCCCAATCCTCTCGGGCACGGAGGCATACACTGTTAGAAACAAGCTTCTGATTGCAGGAAATACGGAAAGCCAAAGACAGAAACAGCTTTCGATGCTGGTGGAAAAGTGCTGGTCCCGGCTGTGAATTATCGATGCTCTGGTGTTCTTTTTCACTCACTGAGCTCGTGGAGAGAAGGCAAGGTGATACCCACCGGTGTTACTTTTCTCAGTGTTAGCATTTCCACTACGACAGGGGGCTCCCCGGGAGACTCCAACAGTAAAGAATCTGCCTGCAATGCGGGAGACCCGGGTTTGATCCCTGGGTGAGGAAGATCCCCCGGAGGAGGGCACGGCAACCCACTCCAGTATTCTTGCCTGGAGAATCCCATGGACGGAGTAACCTGGTGGGCTACAGTCCATGGAGAAGGAAATGACAACCCACTCCAGTATTCTTGCCTGGAGAATCCCAAACGGAGTAACCTGGTGGGCTACAGTCCATGGGGAAGGAAATGACAACCCACTCTAGTATTCTTGCCTGGAGAATCCCATGGACGGAGGCGCCTGGCAGGGCTACAGTCCTCGGGGTCACAAAGAGTCGGACACGACTAAGCGACTAACACATTCACAGGGTAGGAGGCTGTTATCCAAGGAGAGAGAGGTTGCTCTGGAAAACAGACATCCAGCTGGTGCTACGTTCATATTCCCAAGTGCCCACCATGGCAGCCATACTGGGATGAGCTGTGTTCAACCCAAAAGTCCTAACGAAAGCCTGGTACCTGTGAATGTGATCTTGCTTGGAACAGGGTCTTGCAAGATGCAATCAAGAGAAGATTGGGACTAACCCTGTGATTCGTGTCCCTGTTAGAAGAGAGAGGTGGACAGAGATTTCTCTTTACCACGGGAGGACACGGTGAGGATGAGCCGGGAAGAGACCGGCATCAGGAACTCAGGTCAGCCAGCAGGTTGATCGTGGACTTCCAGAACTGGGGGCGGTAACAAATGTCTCACAGGGTCACACGTCCTGTAGTTTTAAAACCGCACTGCCATGATGTCACCTGACCTTAATTTCCCTGGAAACAAGACTATCTCCAAATAAAGCCACAGTGGGGGGTGGGGGATGGGGGTAGTGCTTTAAGACATGGATTCTGGAGGAACATAAATGCAGTCCAGAGCAAAGGAGAGTGATCACGATGGTAGTCATGATGATGGGGGTGACGATATTGATGGTGGTGATGTTGATGGCAATGACAATAATGATGGTGGTGATAATGCTATGATGGTGGTGATACTGACATGATGGTGGTGATGTTGACGGTGATGATGGTGATGATATTGACATGATGGTGGTTTTGTTGATGATGATAATGATATGATGATACTAACATGATGGTGGTGATGTTAACGGTGATGATGGTGGTGATATTGACATGACGGTGGTGATGTTGATGGTGATGATGGTGGTGATATTGACACGATGGTGGCGATACTGACATGATGGTGGTGATGTTGACGGTGATACTCACATGGTGGTGATGTTGACGGTGATGATGATATGATGATGGTGGTGAAAACAATGGTGGTGATGTTGACGGTGATGATGGTGGTGATATTGATACGATAGTGGTTGTGTTGATGGTGATACTGATATGATGATGGCACTGACAATAATGATGGTGGTGTTGTAGACGGTGATGACGGTGGTAATATTGAGGCAATCATGGTGGTGACGATGATGATGGTGGTGACGTTGATGGTGATAATGATATGATGATGGTGGTGATGTTGATGGTGATATTGATGATGGTGCTGATATTGACATGATGATGGTGATACTGATACAATGGTGGTGATGTTGACGGTGACAATGGTGGCAATATTGATGTGATGATGGTGGTGACGATAATGATGGTGGTGATGTTGATGGCGATATTGATATGATGGTGGTGATGTTGACAGTGATGATGGTGGTGATATTGATACGATAGTGGTTTTGTTGATGGTGATATTGATATGATGATGGTGCTGACAATAATGATGGTGGTGATGTAGACAGTGATGACGGTGGTAATACTGATGTGATGATGGTGGTGACGATGATGATGATGGTGATATTAATGATGATGGTGCTGATACTGACATGATGGTGGTGATACTGACATGATGATAGTGATACTGATATAATGGTGGTGATGTTGACTGGTGACGATGGTGGTAATATTGATGTGATAATGGTGGTGACAATAATGATGGTAGTGATGTTGATGGTGATATTGATATGATGGTGGTGGTGAAATTGAGGATGGTGATGTTGATGGTGATGATGGTGGTGATATTGATAAGGGTACTGATGCTGATGATGCTGGTAGCAGTGATGAAAGTGAAGGTGACAATTATGGAGATGATGTTGGTGCCGTGAAGGTGGACGTGATAAACTCAGAAGCACTGACTTTCTAGTCGACGTTCACTACCTGATTGGAACTGTTTTTAGGAAAGACTTTCCAATGAGCAGATCCATCCATCCTTACCTGTCACCCTACGCGGTAGGAACAACGCTCATGTCACAAATGAGATAAGCAACGCAAGGGAACACAGCATGACCGCAAACTACAGCAGACTCAATCCGACCCGCTGGAAATGGGCAAAAACACGCGTCCAAGGCATACAAGTGGTCCCCGTGGCTGCACTCCACGCCTCACTGCCCCTCTGACGTGCTTCCGTTAACAGAGGCTCCTGGTAACGGAAATAAACTTAACCTGAAGCTCATAAAGCACTATCGCGTGGCAACTGTGGGGAGGTGAGCGGACCGTCTCACCTCTCAGAACCACAGATTTCTCAGCTGTGAACCAGTGATGGTCGGGCAACGTTATCACCCAGCGCATCTGTGAAGCATTTTACTGACACTTTGTTGGCATCAGGCTTCCAAACAAAATGACTATGGAAAAAAGAAAAAACAGGACGTTCGTGTGGATGTTTGGTAGACAGCAACTATAGGGTATTATCCTTCAACTAAAAATGCATAAATTTAAAAGAACGAAATTCTGTAAAGCAACTGTCCTTCAATTAAAAAATCAATTGTGGAGAAGGGAACGGCCACCCACTCCAGTAATCCTGCCTGGAAAAGTCCACGGACAAAGGAGCCTGGCGGGCTGCAGCTCATGCGGTTACCTGACTAACCGTGCGTGCACGAGGGTTCAGGGAGATGGGTTGGTAGCAATAAACTGGTAGAAGCAAAAATAAATACGTAAAATTTTTAAAAATAAAATTAATTGATTAAAAAAAAAAACCGGCCTTCCCTGGAAGTTCAGAGATTGGGAATCCACCAGTGGGGGTGGTCACAGGTGATCATCACCCCTGATTCCTTGCCTTGTCCCTGGGTCCCATCCCTGCTCCAGGAAGACCGCAGATGACTCAGGGCAGTGAAAAGCCCGCGGGCCATCGTGAGCGAGCCTGCTCTAGAGCCCGCGCTCCACAACGGGAGAAGACACTGCAGAAGCCCACGGATCACAACCGGAGAGGGGCCCTGCTTGCCACAACTAGAGAAAGACCTGTGTAATCTGCTCAGTCCTGTCCGACTGCAGCCCGCCAGGCTCCTTCTGTCCATGGGATTCTGCGGGCAAGGACACTAGACTAGGTTGCCACGCCCTCCTCCAGGAGATCTTCCTGATCCAGAGATGGAACCCAGGTCTCCTGCATTGCAGGCAGATTCTTCACCAGCTGAGACACAAGGGAAGCCAAGAACTGGAGTGGGTAGCCTTTCCCTTCTCCAGTGGATCTTCCCGACCCAGGAATTGAACCGGGGTCTCCTGCATTGCAGGCGGATTCTTTACCAGCTGAGCCACCTAATTACAGCAATGAAGACCATTTTTTTTTTTTTTAAAAGGGTGGACTTTATACCCAAGACTGCCAATAGGTGGCATCACCACTATCACAGAATAAAACCAGTGTTTAAAGCTACCTGCACACTTCTACATAAACTGAAAGTGAAAATCACTCAGTTGTGTCCAACTTTGCGACCCTGTGGACTACACAGTCCATGGGATTCTCCAGGAGAGAATACTGGAGTGGGTAGCGTTTCCCATCTCCAGGGGATCTTCCCAACCCAGGGACTGAACCCAGGTCTCCCGCACTACAGGCAGATTCTTTCCCAGCTGAGACACAAACCACCCCATTTTATTCTCAGCCATGTTAAGTGATGAAATGCTATAGGGGAAGATGACATTGACTTTTAACTGCATCAGAAAAAGTAACCCCAGGATGGCCCCTGTCTAAAAGCCATCAGACATGAGTTATTTAATGTAAATCAGTTCAGTTCAGTCGCTCAGTCGTGTCCAACTCTTTGCGACCCCGTGGACTGCAGCACGCCAGGCTTCCCTGTCCATAACCAACTCCTAAGCTTGCCCAAACTCATGTCCATCGAGCCGGTGATGCCATCCAACCATCTCATCCTCTGTCGTCCGCTTCTCCTCCCGCCCTCAATCTTTCCCAGCATCAGCGTCTTCTCCAATGAGTCAGTTCTTCACATCATGTGGCCAGAGCATTGGAGTTTCAGCTTCAGCATCAGTCCTTCCGATGAATATCCAGGACTGATCTCCAATGACTATTCAGGATTAATTTCCTCTAGGACTGATGTCGTTTAATGTAAAACTGCTCCCCAATTGTTTGCCATAAAATGTTTCTGCAACATGAGGAACAGTTCTCACGTGAACCAACCCTAATTCGTCACAGGAATAGACACCATGGGTACTTGTTCCAGATCTAGCTTCTGATACGGGAGTCACCAGCTGCACTTTCACTGTAAAGAGTGAAATTCTAACCCGGTTTTAATTTGAATTTAAATGTAACAACCCACACTCAATGCGTGGACTGAAAAACGGACGTGAATCTGCTTTCTTTCCAACCGTTTCAAACATCAAGGGCAATAAACACACATCTAGAGTTTCTGATGGGAGATATCAGTGCCCTCCTTAAAGACACACAACAGGAGAAAAAGTGTTTGGAATTTCAAAACCTGAGTACCAACGATTCATGGGGGACTTCCCTGGAGGTCGAGCGGTTCAGACCCCACGCTTCCAAAGCAGGGGGCACGCGGGTTCCATCCTTGATTGGAGAACTAAGATCCCACATGCCATGTGGTGTGGACAAAAAGTATTCACGGAGAGTCTGTCAACGCGGATATGGACAATATGCTGAAATGGTCCCATTTGGGACATCCTGAATTAAACCAGCTTGTGAATGAAATCATGTACGCCTGGTCTGACTTTTTGAAACACGACTCCTTAAAAATGTGGAATAATACAGGAGGTCTGTGTTGAACTTGTTTTGGACAGCAATGCTCTCAAGAGCAAGCTTAGGACATTAAATTAGTAAAATCATGCAGAGGAAGGGAACACACATCTTTGTCCTCAAGAAATACAGTACCGCACGCTCCTCTGTGTGCTAAGCTGCGTCCGACTCTTTGTGACCCCAAGGACTGTCAGAAGGATGGGACCCTGGGGCTCTCTGTAAGATTGGGGGACCCTCCAGACACTGGGGCTGTCTGTAAGATTGTCCTGGGCTTGTGGGGGCAAAATAATACACCTCTACCTCTTAAAACTTCAACATCCTTATTACAGACAATAGCCAAGGCGTGGAAACTTCCACATTGTCCATCAGTAGAGGAAGGGATAAAGGAGATGTGGTACATATGTGCAATGGAATACTACTCAGCCATGAAAAAGAATGAAAGAATGCCATCTGCAGCTATATGGATGGACGTACAGACGGAAGTCTGTCAGATAAAGACAAATACTATACGATAACATTTATAAGGGTGAGTGTTAGTTGCTCAGTCATGGCCAACTCTCTGCCATGAATTGTAGCCCTTCACACTCCTCCGTCCATGGGATTCTCCAGGCAAGAATACTGGAGGGGGTTGCCATTCCGTTCTCCAGNCTGGAGTGGGTCGCCATGCCCTCCTGCAGGGGATCTTCCCGACCCGGGGATCGAGCCCAGGTCTCCCGCATTGCAGGCGGATTCTCTACTCTCTGAGGCACCAGAGAAGCCGCCCATCACTTCTGCCGAGACGCGGAATCTCATCAGAAAGGAGCTCCCAGCAGAGAGGACACAGTAGAGACCGCCCCAGGCAGAGGGCGGGGAGTGGGGGGGGGACACGGGGGAGAGCAGCGGTCACTCACTTGTCCACCAGCTTCTTGGCGAACCCGAAGTCGGTGAGCTTGACGTGGCCGTCCCTGTCTAGCAGGATGTTCTCCGGCTTCAGGTCCCTGTAGACGATGTCCCGGGCGTGCAGGTACTCGATGGCGCAGACGATCTCGGCCGCGTAGAACAGCCCGGTGTTGCTGGTGAAGCGGCCGCGGTTCCGCAGGTAGCTGAAGAGCTCGCCGCCCGGCACGAACTCCATCAACATGTACAGGAAGCGGTCGTCATGGCCTGTCCAGAACCTGCACCGGGGACGCGCGAAGGGATCACAGTGAGACCGAGCGCCGCGCCTCGGCTGGCCGGACGGACAGAGGCTGAGGGGGGAAGAGGACGGAGGCCTGGTGCATGAACAGGTCACGTGAAGATACAGTCACAGGGGCTGCCCAGCAGTCAGGTATGGATGTGAGAGCTGGACCAGACAGAAGTCTGAGCGTCTGAGAATGGATGCTTTCCAACTGTGGTGCTGGGGAAAACTCCTGAGAGCCCCTTGGACTGCAAGGAGACCCAACCAGTCCATCCTAAAGGAAATCGGTCCTGAATATTCATTGGAAGGACGGATGCTGAAGCTGAAGCATCAGCCAATACTTTGGCCACCTGATGGGAAGAGCTGACTCCTTGGAAAAGACCCTGATGCTGGGAAAGATTGAGGGCGGGAGGAGAAGGGGACGACAGAGGATGAGATGGTTGGAAGGCATCACCGACTGGATGAACATGAGTTTGAGCAAACTCCGGGAAGGAGAGGGAAGCCTGGGGTGCTGCAGACCATGGGGTCGCAAAGACTCAGACACGGCTGAGCAACTGAACAACAACTTCCTTGGTTCTGCAAGTCCTGTTTTCATTACATAGGAGGGTGACAGACTCTAAGCAGAGGTGACAGAGGTGCTGGAGAAAGAGAGAGAAGAACAGAACAGACTGGCAGATAGCAGCCGGCACAAGGCCCTCAGTCATGGGAAAGCTGGGTGCTGCAGTCCCTGGGCCCACGAAGCGCTGGACAACACACACAGTCACAGACACGTATACGCGTCTGTGTATACACGTCGTGAAAAGTGAAGTCGCTCAGACGTGTCCGACTCTTTGCAACACCATGGACTGTAGCCTGCCAGGCTCCTCCGTCCACGGGGTTTTCCAGGCAAGAATACTGGAGTGGGTTGCCATTCCCTTCTCCATATACTGGAATAAATACAACTGTATAAGATACAGCCCTGGAAAAGGTACCCATAAGAAAGAGATGATCCTACTAAGTGAAGCCAGACAGAATCACAGAAATACTGTATGATACTACTTATACGTGGAATCTAAAAAAGAATGACAAAGTCCCCTAAACAAAACTTCTAGACGCACTGGGAAATCTAAAACCTCTTGTGATTTGCTTTACGGCACTAATCTGCTTTACTGACGGGCTCTACCGCTAAACCCACTGTATCTCTGAGGTCTGCCTATAGTAAAGTGTGATCAATATATAGACGAAGCGCTGGAGATCGTGTGCAATGACCCAAAACATAACTGGAAGGAAAATCACAAGTAATCAAGTGCAGTGGTCAGGAAAGTATGTGTGCTAAGTCGCTCAGTCATGTCTGACTCTTTTCAACCCCATGGACTGTACCCCGCCAGGCTCCTCCATCCATGGGATTCTCCAGGCAGGAATACTGGAGTGGGTTGACATGCCCTCCTCCAAGGGATCTTCCCGGCCCAGGGATCAAACCCAGGTCTTCTGCACTGCAAGCAGATTCTTCATCATGTGAGCAACAGGGAAGTATAAGTTTAAGCAATTAAAAAAAAAAAATGAGGGAATTCGCTGGCGGTCTAGTGGTTAGGACTCTGTGCTTTCACTGTTGAGGACGTGGGTTTAAAGCCTGGTGTGAGAACTAAGATCCCACGAGCTGCACAAGGTGGGCAAATTAAAAATAAAAAAAAAAGATGGGCTGCAGAAAGGAAAAACTTTTCCATGTCCAAGAAAAGCCTTTCAAAAAGGAAAAACAACATACTGTTCTGATGTTCAAATGAATGTCTATTTCACTCATCACCGTGGTTATCCGTTAGAGGAAAATATGGGTCCTGCATACAAGAAGCTTTCTCTGAATGTGCATTTAAATGCGAAGACTCTGTGAGGCTAGGCTCAGATGCGTAGTCGCTCAGTCCTGTCTTACTCTTGGCAACCCTACGGACTGTAGCCCTCTAGGCTCCTCTGTTCAGGGGATTTCCCAGGCAAGGAGCCTGGAGTGGGTTGCCATTCCCTTCTGCAAGTGGATCTTCCCGACCCAGGGATTGAACCTGCGTCTCCAGCATCGGCAAGCGGCATTCTTTACCACCTGGGTAACTTGGGGAGCCTGCTATGCTCAGACGGAGCTGTTACCATAAATGCAAGATCATTTGCCTGATACCCAGTGAGACCAAACAATACTAGAATACTGGAGTTTGGAACACAGAAAAGTTTGTTACAGGGCTGCGCAAGGAGAAGGGTGCTTCACGCCTTAAGAAACCCAGTTACTGCAAGCTTTCTCCAAAGCCCTTTTGTATGGAAGGTGAAGGGTGGACATGGTTAGCTGTTGCCAACTTCTTCATGTCAGAATCTTTACTCAGGCTTCCTAAGTGGCTCAGGGGTGAAGAATCTGCCTGCAATGCAGGAGACACAAGTTGATCCCTGGGTCACGGGGTCAGGAAGATCCCTTGTAGAAGGGCATGGCAACCCACTCCAGTATTTTTGCCTTGAGAATCCCATGGACAGAAGAGCCTGGTGGGGTGACAGTCCACGGGGCCACAAAGAGTCAGACACGACCGAGCACATTCACACGGACACACATCCTTTGCTCTTGAGGGCACGTCACGGTCAGCGAACAATGTTCCGCTAAATCTCTACCAGACACGTTATATTCTCTGCTCCGGAAAGAAAGGGCCAGGTCCCCAGGCACAGGTTTCACCCTCCAGGGTCCCAGGCCTGGCTCAGAAGGGCCAGAGCTCAGCGGCCAGCTCCCTGAGGGACAGATCCACAGACCCTGCCCAGCTGTCATCACTGAACTGACCCTCGGGCTTCTCAGGGAGCTCAGATCGGGGGAGATGAGCTCCCATGGGGATCCCTGACTGCACGGGAGCCAGGACAGATGCCTGCTGTAGTGAGATCATGGACACAGTGATGGGCGGAGACCATCTGGGCTCCTCAGGCCCAGATGGGGGAGGCAGGTCCCATGGGGGTCCCTGACTGCAGGGTAGCTAGGACAGACGCCCGCTGTAGTTATATCACAGACCCAAGGACGGGGGAGAGGGTCACCGCGGCCTGAAGCCCCGGGTCCAGCCAGTGGGTGGCTGTGGCAAGCACCCTGGAGCCCCCCCGCCCAAGCCAAAGCCCGCAGCCTGTTCTCTGGGCGCTCCGGGCTCTCCCGCTGGACCAAGGCTGGGTGAGCTGGAGGGCCCCCAGGGGAAGGCCAGGACCCACGTCTGCGGTCTCTATCCACCCGATGACCACCCGTCCACACACCTTTGGATGAAGGCCCTCACTAAGGCGCGATCATTGAATGACAGCTGCTGACCTGTGGGCGGGGCCCGCTGCAGCACTGTCCAATGGCTGAGCAGCATCACTAAGCTGTTCTTTGAGGCTTGCTGGCCAGTGGGTGGGGCCCACTCGGTGCTGTCCAATGGCTGAGCAGAACCACTAACGGTCACTCATTGGCAGTTGGCTGTTTGTGGGCGGGGCCCACTGCAGTACCGTCCAATGACTAAGCAGCATAACTAAGGGCTGTTCACTGAAGCTTGGCTTCGCAGGCCACTGCTCTGCCGACCAATGGCTGACCAGGACCTCTAAGGGTCGCTCATTGGCAGCTGGCTGCTTGTGGGCGGGGCCCGCTACAGAGTCGACCAATGGCTGAGTGGACCCATGAAGGGTTGCTCATTGCCAGTAGCTTGTGGGCGGGGCCCACTGAGGTGCTGTCCACTAGATGAGGACCACTAAGGGTTGCTCATTGGCAGTTGGTTGCTTGTGGGCGGGGCCTTCTGAGGTGCAAACCAATGGCTGAGCAGGACCACTAAGGGTTGCTCATTGGCAGTTGGTTGTCAGTGGGCGGAGCTCATGAAGCATCAACCAATGGCTGGGCAGGACCACTAAGGGTCGCTTATTGACGATTGTCTCTGGGCGGGTCCTTCTGCAGCACCGACCAATGGCTGAGCGGGACCACTGATGGGCGCTCATTCATAGCTGGTCGCCAGTGGGCTAAGCCCACTGAGGCCTCAACCCATGCCTGAGCAGGACCGCTAAGGGCCGCTAATGGACCGTTGGTTGCTTGTAGGCGGGGCTGCTGCAGAGCTGACCAACGGCTGAGCGGGACCTGTTGCCTAGTAACGGTGTAGCGTAGTGATGCACATTGAGGGCTGCATACTAAGTGATATACTAACGTCACTTTGTTACGCTCCTACAAATGCCTTTCTTTCTGCATTGCTAGATTTCTGCCTCTTGCGGCTCGGGCTACCCAGGGACCCGCGTCTTTAGGAAGCACGGTGGCAGCCACTTCCAGGGGTTTCTCTTTCCCCAGTTCCTGTGTATCTTTGTCCCGCTCCCAGTATCAAGGCTTCAGATCTGCAGTGTTGAGATGTGACGGAAGACAGGGGGCAGGAAGAGGGCTTGGGGTGGGGTGGGGTGGGGTGGGGTGGGGTGGGGGTGGTTTGTGGCTTTTGTTACTGGAAAAGGAGCAAAACCTGCCCTCCCCCAGTATATCTCTAGCATGCAGATTATCTCCAGCTGAAAACAACCAAGAAAAAGTCAAGCAGAGTCCAGAGAAAACTTGGACCTTCTCCCTGAACTGCCTAAAAGAACGTAGATAGAGGAGTTCGTCCCGGAATCTCCAGTTTCAGCAGAGATGTCTGCATAGGATACGGGGCCCCCTGTGGTGGGGTGAACAGAGCCTGGAGGCCAGAGTTCACGCTAGGTCTCTATGTCTCTCCTGGCCCAGCAAACATTTATTTATAAAACTTTTGTTTTGTATCTGTCTCTATGTCAACTGCCCTTCCTCCTCTTTGATATCTCAAAACACTACCCCCAACATCCTCTTTTGTCTTCAGCTGAAGACAGTATTTAAGGGGAGGGTTAGGGCCATGTGGGGAGTCCCAACTGGCTCAATAGTAAAGAGTCTGCCTGCCAATGCAGGAGACGCGGCTTCGATCCCTGGGTTGCGAAGATCCCCTGGAGGAGGAAATGGCAACCCACTCCAGGATTCTTGCCTGGGAAATCCCATGGACAGAGGAGCCTGGCGAGGCT